TCCTTGCTCCAGGAATTGGTTTTAGATCCTTGATCAAATATAAGTTGGTTGTAGATGTTTGGATGATTTCTGGTGTTTCTATTCTGTTCCATTGGTCTATCCATCTGTTTCTGTACCAGTACCATGTTGTTTTGATAGCAACTGCCCTGTAGTATGTCTTGAAATCTGGTATTGTGATGCCTCCAACTTTGTTTTTCTTGTATAAGATTGCTTTAGCTATTCAAGTCCTCTTATGCCTCCATAGGAATTTCAGCATCATTTTTTCTAGATCTGAGAAGAATGTTTTTGGTATTTTGATTGGTACTACGTTGAATCTTTAAATTGTTTTTGGAAGAATGGGCATTTTGATGATACTGATTCTTCCAATCCATGAACCTGGAAGATTTTTGCATTTTTTTTTATCTTCTTCTATTTCTTTCATAGTGTTTTGTAATTCTTATCATAGAAATCTTTGACATCCTTGGTTAAGTTTATTCCAAGGTATTTGATTTTTTTTTGTAGCCATTGTGAATGGGATTGATCTTAGAAGTTAATTCTTAGCCTTGGCATTGTCTGTGTATACATAAGCTGTTGATTTTTGCGTATTGATTTTATATCCAACTACTTTAAAAAACTCTTTGATGAGGCTGGTGCTGTGGCTCAATAGGCTAATCCTCCACCTGCGGTGCCGGCATACCAGGTTCTAGCCCTGGTCGGGGCGCTGGATTCTGTCCCAGTTGCTCCTCTTCCAGTCCAGCTCTCTGCTGTGGCCCAGGAGTGCAGTGGAGGATGGCCCAAGAGCTTGGGCCCTGCACCCCATGGGAGACCAGGAGAAGCACCTGGCTCCTGGCTTCAGATCAGAATGGTGCACCAGCTGCAGCAGGCCAGCCACAGTGGCCACTGGCGGGTGAACCAACGGTAAAGGAAGACCTTTCTCTCTGTCTCTCTGTCTCTCTGTCTCTCACTGTCCACTCTGCCTGTCCAAAAAAAAAAAAAAAAAAAAAAAAAACCTCTTTGATGATGAGTTCCAATAGTGTCTTAGTGGAGTTCTTTGGATTCCCTATATAAAGAATCATGTCGTCTACAAATAGGGATAGTTTGACTTCCTCCTTCCAGTTTGTTTCCCTTTGATTTCTTTTTCTTGCCTAATGGCTCTGGCTAAAACTTCCAGGACTATCTTGAATAGCAATGGTGAGAGTGGTCAACCCTGTCTGGTACTGGATCTCAGTAGGAATTCTTCCAAGTTTTCTGCATTCAATAGGATGCTGGGTCTGTCTCTCTTAATCTATATCTCTCTCTCTCTTTTTCTGTAACTCTGCTTTTCATATAAATAAATCTTTTTTAAAAAGAAAATCATTGGTGCAAGGGTTCTTCTCTGTGGGGGTTGAGGTCCATCTGCCAGTAGTATTTGGGAATTAATGTTAATGTGACTTGTTTGTGCCTCTAAGCTGGTGGGGACATCAACATTCCACATTTTGAACACTATAAAACCAGAAACAGGCTTTATTGCAAAATTCACATTGTCCGCCATATAAAGACAAATTAGTTACTCTGTTGCTTTTAACTATACTTGAAACCAGGAGAAATTTCTCCCAGGAGTCCTGGTAGAGGGGACTCTACAATGCACTGGAAAGAAACCACAGCACCAAGCAATCTTACTTTTTGTGCATTTGTCCTTTCGCGCAGTTTCCCCACTGTGACCTTTGCCGTAAACGAACTCCTAGTACGATCAAAGTAAGCAAACAAAGATTTCCCTGTTGGGTCCAGGCATTACCTCAGAATAAAAAATAATAAAAAAGTAGGCTATAGAAATCCAGTTTCTCAGGGAATTTTCTGAGCCCATGCTCTTTAGAGTCATTAGTCAGATTGGCCACACAAAAGGCTCTGAGTCAGAAATCTCCCTCCCGGGAATAGCATGCCCAAGAACGGAACCCACACGGCCAGGATGGTGGGTGTGCACACTCCTTTGAGAAAATGCATGAGTGCTGGCTGGGTTGGAGCAGAACTAATGATCCATCTTGGGAGACTCCATAACGAAGTTTGCCTCATGCTTATAGACTTTTTTGCAAATAGCTGAATATTTAGTTTTAAAATATTGATCGTTTAAAAAAATATTTAAACAATTTGTCCAAAAGTCAAAGACAGAACACTTGACTTGTTTTTCTACTTTATTCTTTGAAATTTAGCCTCTCGTGTTTTTTCTCTCTTGCTTACTTTCTTTGTCTAGTTATCTGGTGTAAAAATAATACATGACAATGGATAAAATTCAGACTCTCAGAAGAGTATAAATTTTTTTTAAAAACATTTATTTATTTATTTGAAAGTCGGAGTTACACAGAGGGAGAAGGAGAGGCAGAGAGAGAAAGTAAGAGAGGGAGAGAGAGAGAGGGAGAGAGAGAGGTCTTCCATCTACTGGTTTACTCCCCAGTTGGCCACAATGGCCGGAGCTGCACCGATCCAAAACCAGGAACCAGGAGCCAGGAGCTTCCTTTGGGTCTTCCCACGCAGGTTCAGGGGCCCAAGTCATCTTCCACTGCTTTCCCAGACCATAGCAGAGAGCTAGATCAGAATTGGAGCAGCTGGGACTCAAACCTGTGCCCATGTGGGATGCTGGCACTGCAGGTGGCAGCTTTACCTGCTACACCACAGTACTGGCCCCGAAGAGTATAAAATTGGGAGTTAAAAGTCCTCCCATACCCATTCTCGTCTTTATGGCCATGTTGTAGACCAAAGCATCATCATTCATATTTTCTTGTGTTTTGTTTAAAAAATCACTTATTAGCATATATGTATGTCATGAAATAATTTCTTCATGATAACATGGCATGGAAAGTCGCCCAAGTGTTCCATGAAGAAATCCTGCAAAATGGGATACACTCTGTAAACCCATTCCTGTAGCAACAGTAATGTGACAGGAGGACAAACCATTCTCCTTTTTTTCCTGCAGCGAGCTTCTTCCATTTCCCTGATTTGCTGCAAGGGCCTCTCTACTTTGCTTGTCTGTGACTTCTGACTTCAGTGACCGTGACAAATCTGTCCATCACCTAATAAAGATATGTAATGAATGTTTGTCACTGATACCCGATCATTAAATGCCTGCCAGTGTCTTAGCAGGTCAAGATAAGGGCAAATTATCTGTCAGAATTATGCTTTATGACAACTGAATTTTAACCCACCTCTCCTGTGATACCTGATTCCTGAAAGTCCTGTCTTTTCAGTAGCATCCCCACCCAATCCCCTTCAGAAAACTATTTGGTAATTCTTGCAAAGGGAGAGAATGTTTGCAAGGTAATTGGCTCTTAGCACTGTTCTGTCCAAGAGAATCTCATTCGGGAGCAGAGGTTTTGGGAGCTATTACTCTACAGCTGGCGTCGCCCTCAGTCGTGGAGGAAGGTCAGCATCTCCTCCTGAGGAAGTGAGGCAGGGGTTTACTTCCTGGCCGGTTCTTTGAGGCTCTGAATCTTGACAGGAGCAGCAAAAGTTCATCGATTGACGAGCCCAGATCACACACCAGCGCTCTCACAAGTGTTGTACCCTGTCCCTTCTGCTGGTCCCAGTGGCTCAGCTTCACAGCTGAAGAGCAGATGGAGCATGCACACTGTGTCAGAGTTCAGCCACAATTCCATTCCTGATTCCAATTAGTATAAACATTCCCTGACAGAATGCATCTCTAAGAGTTGTCGCGTCCTGGGGGTGAGGCACTGCTTCACCTGGTCCTTGCTGCTCCGCATAGAAATAAAGAGAAAAGCCCAAGAGGATCAAAAGCCAAAGCAAGTTTATTGGCAATAAAGAGAAGCTTCCGCTTGGAGGTGGGCCCCAGAGCGGAGGGTCCGCCGTGGCCCCTAGTGGGGCTGGTCTCTTTCTGTGCTGTGATGTTGCTGACTCTTCTCCTAGTGCGTGCAGTAGGGGTCCTGTTTGGATTGGCTGCCCCGCCTCTGTCCACCAGCGTGGAAGGGTGTGTGCAGTTGGATCCCCTACCTCTGTCAAGGTGTGCAAAGGGTGGATAGGTTAGTATTTTCCGTACCCTTGCCTTCTGTGCTATCCTGCCCCTCTTCCTCTCTTTTTGGTCTGTTTAATTTGTGCATTTCCCTAAGCTTTGTGTTTTTTGTTTGTTTAGTTTTGTTTTGTTTTTTCTTAGAGGGATGAAACTTTCCCGGAGCTCACCCAAGGTCTACTCCTTTCACTAACCCTGCCCCAGGGGCCTCTTTCCCTACAAAGTCAAAACCAAGGCAGCTTCTGCCGAGCTCTCGGGGTCAGCCAGTTGCACAAATCAACTCTTAACTCGTTGATCTGTGTGATTTTATTGATAGTCACGGTTTTGTGTGGCTCTTTTCTGACCCAAAGAACCACGAAGGGAATCAAGTAGAGAGCTGGTGAGGCATCAGCAATGATGCTAGTGTAGGTCGATCTCTGATCCCTCTTGAAATTCCAAATGAAATCCAAGAGGCTAATGAAGAAGTGAAGTTCGTGTGTGCCCTTTCCTGTTTTCCTGACCTGGTCTGCGGTGGATTGATCGTCCAGTGGATTTTAGTAGAGGAGGAAGAGTCCACAAAAGCTCTGTGTTGTTGGTACTCAGAGATTCTTTATTATTATAGTTTACATTTTTATTTATATGAGGGACAGAGAGAGGGGGAAAAGAACAGCCATCCACATGTCCAGTCTCCAAATGCTTGCGATGGCTGCGACTGGTCTGGTCCAAAGCTGAAAGCTGGGACCTCAAGCCAGGTCTCCCACGCGAATGGTGAGAATTCTGTAACTTGAATCATACCCTTTACCTCACAGGCTCTGCATCAGCAGAAAGTTGGAGTTGAGAGCCAGAGCTAGCAATCAGACCCAGGCACCTGAATGCAGGAAGTGGGCCTTTTAACCCCTAGGCTAACCCCTCCCAGATTCTTTATTTTAGAGCACAGGTCTCTTAATTTCAGTCTTGTTGCCCAGCGACTGTACCCTTGGCTTTGTGTGTTGTATAACCCGCCCTTCTAGAACACGTGTACTGACTACTATTTTATGACAAAGTAAGAATCCTAGCATCCTCTCACGTAAATGAAGGAGGTGGTCTTGCTGTCGGGTCTCCCTTTCTTGGAGCCCCGTGTCTGGCTGCTGTGGCAGGTTTCTGACTTCAGTAAATCCTGCCTTGCTCAAAAAATAACAAAAACAAAACCAAGAGAACACTCATAGGGATGCTAATACTATAATGCGCTCATAATTTGAGATGCTTTGTAGGCTTGGAGGACCATCAGGAACTTGCTGGAGAGGCCACACTCTGGGAGAGTTCAGTAAGTATGCAGACCTATTACAGAGGTGTAGAGGAGCTGAATCTCCACCCTGGACAGTTTCAACTTTCTTTGCTTTATGAGGCTGTATTTTAATTTTTGATCATACAGGAACCTGCCACTTGGAGAAACTCCAGCTGCTTCTACACTGCTCAGCTAGAACATGGGAATTATTTCTGCAACCTCTAGCATGAAACCAGGTGGTGGAGCCAGTTCTAGGCTGATTCAGACTTCAGAGAAATCTGACGGTGTCTGTGTCCATTGCAATACTGGGTGGAAAGATGCAGGACATCGCACCCTGGGGTGAAGGTTATGCGTCACGAGAAGATCTATTGACTGGGGGGAAGGAACATGTCCGCTGCTTTTATCTATGAGCATGCTAATGAGACACCTCTTCATTATCTCCTTGAGGCCGTGGACTGTTTTGGACTGAATCATGTCCCCCAGATTTCATGTGTTGCCCTAATCCCTAGTGTGCCTATATTTGCAGACAGAGTCATGAAGGAGGTGATCAAGGTTAAATGGGGTCATCGGGGTGGGACCCTCGTCCAATAGGACTGGATAGGAGAGATTTACACACTCCAGCAAAGGCTATGTGAAGCTACAGCAATGTAGCTGTGGGTAAGGCCAGAGCGAGGCCTCAGGATAGCCAAGCCAGCACCTTGTCCTCGGGCTTTCAGCCTCTAGAACTGTCAGGAAATGAATTCTGTTGTTGAAGCCAACTCTCTGTGATATCTTGTAATGGTAACCAGAGCAAAATCGAACACGCATCAAAGCTATTTCCTTGGCTTGCAAGGACGACTTCCAAGAGCAAAATGCAAGGAAGTGTGCCATCAGATATTTTAAATGGTAGTGTTTGTGAGGGGTGCACTGTGTGGTTGTATAATTGAATTTGCCTCATGTTATACACTATCCGCATTAAGAAGAAAACTTGCAGGTCGTCCTAAGATTTCTTGGGACATCACCAGTGGAAAACTGAAAGCAGAACATGATGGGGCACTGTGTGCTCTCACGTGTGAATTCGTGACGGCTCAGGAGTGTGTGGCTATGTCTCCATGTTACGTCAAGGAGACTGCGAAGAGAACTATCTGGAATATTAGCAGTTGCTTTGTATATCCCAGGTTATGACTAGGGTATTACAGAATTGGAAAGCGCTGAACTTACTGCTGTGAGTTGGAAATAAAACCCAAGGGAAGTACACCGTATTTTTTAAATACATCAAATTTAAGCAAATGAGGGGGTAAAGCCGCCCTTCTGTGAATTGCACTGTGCTCTTTGTGCGGACCTTGATTCTGTGTGTAGGTGCGGCAGTGTTGTTGTGGCCTCTCTTCGGTACGCCAGGCTCAGGCGGTAAGATCTGCGTAATTATTATACTTTTACTGAACTGGCTGTTTTTACCCTATTTTTATGATAAAATCAATATATTCTGGGGAAAGTATTCTTATTGGTCTTGCCTTTCCCAAAATGTCACAGAGGTGGAATCATAAAATTAGTACACTTGTCAGATTGGCATCCTTCACTTAGCAATATGCATTCATGTTTCCTGCATGTCTTTTTGTAACTTGATGGCTGTTTCCTTTTATCGCTGGATAATATTCCACATCTGGGTGGACCAGAGTTTATCCATGCACATAGGAAAGGACATCTTGGTTGGGAATGTTGCACAAAGCTGTTGTAAACCCCTGTGTGCAGATTGCTGTGTGCACGTAAATTTTCAACTCCTTTACGTGAATACCAAAGATCATGGTTGCGGGATTGTGTGTCAACAACATGAGCGTTCAGCTTTCGGAGGAGCTGCCAAGCTCTCTTCCAAAGTGGCTGTACCATTTCGTATTCTTACCTACAGTGAATGAGAATTCCTATCCTTCTATATCCTTGCAACCATTTGATGTTGTCAGTGTTTGGGGTTTTGGCCAAATAGGTGTGTAGCAGTACCTCATTGTGGTCTTAATCACATTAATTTAATTACATTAGCTTGTTTATCTAATGACAGATGTTGCACATGCTTTTAAAATATTCTCACCACTTTACATTATTTTATTAAATATTTTTGGATTTTATTTCATTGTTTTGAGAGGCAGAGAGACGAGGAAGGGCAAAGAGCGATTTCCCATTCCACTGGTTCTTATAGTCACAATAGCTGAGGCTGAGCCAGGGCCAAAGCCAAGTGATGGAGACTCAGTCCAGGTCCCCTAATTGATGATGGGCACCCAACCGCTTGAGCCTCAGCTGGTTCCCTCCAGCGTGCATGTCAGCTGGGAGCTGGAATAAGGAGTGGAGCTGGAACTTGAACCCAGGTACTTCAGTATGGGATGCAGGCATTTCAACTGATGCCTGAACTGCTAGACCAGACACCTGCTCTGACATGTTTTTCTGTGTGTGTGCTATGGTTTGAATGTCCCCTCCAAAACTTAGGCTGAGATCTAATTGCTCTTGTAACAGCATTGAGAAGTGGGGGCCTTTGAGCGACGATTACTTGTGGGGGCGCTGCCTCGTGAATTGATTAAGGCTGTTACTTTGGGAGTGAGTGAGTTATAGAAGGGATGGGTCCCAATTTTCTCTCTTTAACATGTGTTCACCTGCCCTTCTGCCACATCTCAGCGCATCATGAGGGCCCCCTGGGCTGCCAGCACTGCACTTTTGGACTTCTCACTGGTCCACGCTTGGCATGAACTTCTGCTGTTTGTAACATGCTCATCTGAGATGGTACTGCTCTCTGTGTGTCGTCTTTGGTGAGCTGCCCATTCTGGCCTTTTGTGCACTTTTTGATGGAGTTGTTCGCTCTCTTATGGTTGATTCTCAGAGTTCTTCATGTGACGTGGATAAGAGCCCATTGTCATATGTGACTCGTGCACACAGTTTGTCCCAGCCTCTGCTTGTCTCTCCATCTGCTTGACTGTCTTTCACAGAGCAGAATTTTTTTTTTATCTGAATGAAGTCCAACTTATTAATGATTTCTTTCATGAATTGTGCCTGGGGTGTTATATCTAAGAGATCATCAACCACCCAATTTAATTAATAGTATTATCTTTCTTAGTGCTTAGTTTAAATAGACTTTGAACATTATTACTTGGCTCATTTGCTTCGAATGCTTTCTTTTACTGTAAAAGAGGAGGAGAGAATGGCCCTAGTTCCCTTCCTCTCTTCCCTTTCTCTACTCTGTCAGCACTTAGAAAATTTATATTCTATTTGGTCCCATTCAGCTCCACATTTGGTTTTGATTTGGAATTGCATTTAAATAATTCTGTGATCACCACCAACTCTTTTGTCATAATTCCTGGACTTGAGTTGGCTGAAGTTTGTCCTCTAACAATTCTATCAACAAGAACTTGGGAGAACAATGTTTTATCGGTTATCGGTTCCTGCCTATTCAAAGCTGCTTGTACCCTTTCTCTCTTGAAGACTTGTGATTAGTTTGCCTACAGTTCTTTCCTCATCCTTAAATCCAATGCAGGCATGTACTGCATGTGTCTTGGTGTGGACTGTTCTGGATTAATATCCCCAGCACATAATGGAACCCTTCACTGGGTGGTTTTAGGTCACATTTTGCATTAGCGAAGCTTTCTGGAATTAAACCTTTCGCAGTGTGTTCTGTTTGTTCAGGGTATGTTCCTCTCTGGTAGTGTCTGATGCCCTGTTGCATCTCTGTTACCTGTTTCTGTCTCTGTACCTCTTCCTGCCACATCTCTCATCACCACCCTTCAAGTTTCCTCCTTATTTTCTGAATTATCTGCTCTCCCTGAGCGTCTTTTTTTTTCCTTTCTTGTATTGCTGATTTATGGTTTTCCTTCTTAGAGACAGTTGTTTTATTGCGTTTTTACATTCACAACGTAACAGCTGGCTACAATGTCCGATTGCTTGGTGGCAGCGTTTTGCTGGCAAGTGTTCTTCACATTAGAGGGTTTGCTGCCATTTCTCCTGTCTTGTCCTGTGTAATCTTGGTGTCAGCATGGTGCCAAGTCCTTTTTATGAGTGAGCAGCGTGCATTTTCCCGGGCAACTGTATGCCGAAAGTCCGTATAGGAGAGGAAACCGCATGGCAGCTCTCTGGGTTCACGCTTGTGGTCTTTCTCAGAGACGGTCTGATCCTGCCAAGGCAGCACATGGTGTGTGAGGTTTGCATGTAGCCGGAGTCTCCACTTTCTCTAAAACTCAATGGATTTTTTTTTTTTTTAAAGAATTATTTTAGGGGCCGGCACTGTGATGTAGTGGGTAAAGCCACCACCTTCAGTGCTGGCATCCCATACAGGCGCCAAGTTCGAGTCCTGGCTGCTCCACTTCCAATACAGCTCTCTGCTATGGCCTGGGAAAGCAGTAGAGAGTGGCCCAAGTTCTTGGGCCCCTGCACCCAGTTGGGAGACCCAGAAGAGGCTCCTGGCTCCTGGCTTCGGATCAGCACAGCTACGGCCGTTGCAGCAATTGGGGAGTGAACCAGCGAATGGAAGACCTCTCTCTCTCTCTGTCTCTCTCTCCCTGCCTCTCCTCTCTCTAACTCTGACTTTCAAATAAATAAATGAATAAATATTTATAAAAAAAGAATTATTTTATTTATCTGAAAGACAGAGTTACACAGAGAGAGGTAGAGCCAGAGAGAGAGGTCTTCCATCCAGTGGTTCACTCCCCAAATGACTGCAACAGCCAGAGGTAAGCTGATCCAAGGCCAGGAGCCAGGTCTCCCACGTGGGTGCAGGGGCCCAAGCACTTAGGCCATCTTCCACTGCTTTTCCAGTGCATAGCAGAGAGCTGGGTTGGAAGAGGAGCAGCCGGGACTGGAACCTGACCCCTCATCAGGTTTTAAAGGTGCCTGACCAGCCCCGCTCTCAGGCCGCCTCCACTGCTGTGGCATGGTTCCACCTCCACCCCTCCAGGCAGCCGCTGGGGAGGGCCCACTGCTGAGACCTCCCACCCTGACTGATTCCTGACTCTCTTTGCGTCTCTTCCCTGGCCATGTGGCTCCTGTGTGGTTTGGGCTGCTTTGGGCAACCCTGGTATTTATTTTGGAAA